AATTTTATACAGGGTGACGTTGAAAAGATACGGCAGCCAATTATGTTTTTTCTAATGGAACACCCCGTATATTTTGGCACAGTTGAATAGTCCCAGGCGTTCTCATTACGAATATATATATATATATATAACCCTACCTTTTCCTTCCACGATTTCAGATATATTCGCAAAAATATATTCAGTGTGTCACATTTCTTATGGTTACACCCCCGTATCTTCTGTAAAAATAATTGAGGCAGGATTCAAAAATTCGCAACTGTCAGAAAGATACAAATGATAAACTCATGGAGTCATGGACCAAGTGGGATCATCTCCAATGATAACACTGCTCGCCAGCAGCTATGGAATCATCGATATTTCTGGATAATGCTATATGAACAGAATCGAGGTTGAAAATGACACTCTGTATATATTCACCAAATGTGGAAAATAAATATCATAGGGAATGTAATTTCCAGATAAATGGATATTTGGTGAGAAATAAAATGGGAAATTATTCGATTTGATATCATTGTTATCAAGACATTTGAGATACAGAAATGAGACCAATAATTTACTCAATTAGGAAATCAGTTGGTTGCGTTGAAAAATATAGCCTTATAGAAGATGTCCAAATTCAAGATACAGAACAATTTTTTTTTATGGAACACCCCGTATATTTTGGCAGAGCTGGAAAGTTCCCGTTTCAATTTCAAATATATATCTTATTTATTATCTCTTTGAACGCAAAAATATCAAGGCATACTAGAAATAATGGGTAAAGTATCATATTCAGGCATTCTGCCACAAAATATTATGATTGTTAATGTTTCCATCAATATTCGTAATGAGAACGCCTGGGACTATTCAACTGTGCCAAAATATACGGGGTGTTTCATTAGAAAAAACATAATTGGCTGCCGTATCTTCTCAACGTCACCCTGTATAAAATTTCTGATGATGCCAATGGATTCCACGCATCATACTGTATAAATATACGTTTGAAATTTTTTGATACCTCTCACCGTAAAGTAGTCAGAAAATAAAATCGAAATCGGCAAATTTTGAATTCCTCCCTGTACCTCTAAAACGAATGAAGATGTCGAAATTTTGATTGTGCCATTCGAGGTTTCTCCAAAATCGAACCCGGAACATGTATATCGGTTTTTCGATAACTCCTCTAGTTATTGAGATAGACGGTAAAAACGCCCAATTTTCCCCACCCTGTACAGGGTGCGCATCTTAAAATCACATCTCTGAAAACAAAAGAGTTGAGGATGGATTCCATTTTAAGAGACGTACCCTGTACATACACGTATTTTTTAGAAACAGATATGAAATGACAGTGATACAGCTAGCGGTGGCTTTTGTAAGACATCCTGTACAAGGTAGAAGACTCATCGACAACCATTTTTTTTTCTATTAGTACGTCTAACAGACCGCGAAGGTGGAATTAATTCTCATCACTTGTTTTCCGAAGTACTTTCGGTTCACATTCACACACTGACAATGAAATTATAGGTCACGCTGGGATGAAATGTTTGAATATTGATATCGAGTCCCTTTCTTGATGAAACAAAAGAAAACTAATGTTTCTAATAGGTATAGGAAGGACCGAGACGATAGCGTAGTATTTATACATAGTTGTTTTCGGAACAAGTTGCAGAATGAACGAGTTTTTTGCACTAAACTATTTCCCTCACTTTTTTCCAATTGTATATAATAGTTAATTGTAATTCAGAAAATAATTCAACTGTGATTATTCCAGATTTTTTGTGATTTTCTCTCCTCTTTTCTATATCAAATAGAAATATGAATATTATTTCAATATACGTGTAGTAAGGACAAATCAGATGATTTGCCCCAAAATCTCGCCCAAAATGTCACTGTGTTTGAAGAATTTTCCTATCAGAGATCCTAAAAGAAAAATTCACTAGCTTTTCAGTGACAATTTGTATTGAAAAATGTTCGAAGAAGAAAAATAAAGGTACCTATATAGAAAGAATATCAAGTTTCTACTTAGCTCTGGAAGGTTCGGGAACGAATCTGCTCCCGTTGTCAATATAAAAATGGATTTTTGAATAGCAAATTCGTATTTGTCTTGACACTTTTCAGTTCTCAATGACAATTGGTGACGTTGGAAATCAAATGAGGTATAGGATGTTTTCATTAATTAATCATGAATTCACCATTTTCATTCTCAGATTTCAGTAGTGAATACCATGTTCTATCTATATCAACTGAAAAGGAAGCAATGCTATTGTCTCCGTTCAGAAGAATGCAAGCAGATTCCTTGATTTTCCTCTTCTGGTTGTTATCCTCTTTTCCAATGATTTTAATATCATTCCACTTTACCATATACATATCTAGAATGGAATTTATGAAAAAAAATAATCACATCTTTCAAAAAGGGTACCCACCATTCTAGGATGTTATAACTCGACATTAAAAGTGTGTTATGAATGGGGAAGACCACTGAGGGAAGAAATCCGTGCAAACCTCTTTCAATCGACGAATCATGATTTACATTTTATGTACAATCAATATTATGAGTTGAAGTTGAAGGGAATCGAATCTATATCGTTTTGAAATCAGCATATTTCATTCGATATTTGAAACAGCCAAATATGATGGTGGAGTCGTGACGTATTAGTCCCGAACTGTAGCTATCTCTCTCTGATACCTCGTCATTCTGCAGTGTTGCAGTGTAATTGGTCAGTTCAAGGACAATAGGCGTGTTGGGACTAAGACGTCGCACCAGTCACACCAATGAATTGATGAAATTTCAAATGGCGCAGGAATTGTGTGTTTTGAAATGGACATATACTAATTTATTTTTTTGATCGTCTTAGCATGAATGAAAGAATTCAAAATCAATTCACTGGTAGTTTTTCAGTATAGAGTTCACGATAATGTCGTTTTAAAACATCAGTGGTCTTCCCCAGAAACCTCAAAGATTTTCAACATTTGTGATGGAAATGTTGCCGCTTCTCACGATTTGTATGAAATGTTACGAATATTATTGTTAAGGATGTTGAATCCAGTGGTGGAGTCGAATATTTTTGCAAAACTTGGCTTATGATTTCGCAATTTTTAACACGAAAAAATACAATTTTGTCTAAACGTAGATCTTTTTGATACTCTTCCTGTTGAAACAAACAAAGAGTTGAATCGGTTGAAAACTGTAGATTTTCAATGTGGTGGATTTCATTACTAAAAATATGTTGGTAAGATGCTATAGATTTGGCACTATCAAGAATTGATTTGGTTACTTCTATCATCTTAGTTTGTTGATGGTTTGATTGAAAGTTGAGGTATGTTAGTATGAGTCTTTCACATAACGTCGTGCCACTGATCAGTTTTAGGGAGTGCCACTTCAAATCAGATTTGCTGGAAAGTTGAAGGTCACCCAAATTCCCTTGCATCCGGTCCTGGCAGACCGCCGAGGTATAACAATTCGAATCAATGTCTCGTCAAGCCTTATTTCGGAGTGCTCGTTCTTTCTGTCGACCTGTCGCTGTAATAGAGAAATCGATTTTCCAATTCCACCAGGAATCGAATGGAAACACAGAAAGGCAATAATAATTCATGGATCTGTAGGGGTAGTCACTAACCAGGTCACAGACAATTCAATACCAAGAACTGTTAGATTCCACCATCCGTCAGTTTAATTTTTTTAATAGTATTGTAACAAAAAGTCAGTTGTAAGCGTTTCTGAAAATGGATTTGATGGACTATTAATTATTTCACAAAATAATTATTATTTGAAAAAGCAGTCTAGAGATGCTTCAATGGGAAAGTTTCCTTCAGATGTATTTTTATAAAATAAGTTCAGAAGTCTCCAGTTTTATGACCACGCTCTAAATTTCGGGGCGGCAAATTGTGACGTACATTCTGAATCTAGTCTGAAAATAGCTGATGGTGAAGAATACAGCTAGCAAATAGCTGACGAATAGCAAACGATTGAAAACGAATGAAAAAAATAGAAGAAGCAGTAAAACTGGTGAACAAAAACATACATAACCACAAATGCACCCAGAGCAAGAATGCAGAGGGTAGTTAGCTTCATTCTGACATGATATGGTTTCATTATTTATGCATTGAAATATCTCGAATAAAGCTCGATCCAAAACGAAAATATCATTGAATCAATGAATCACTATCGGCTACATTAAACTATACTATCTTCCTAATTCACTGTCATCGGTCAGAGCAGAATGAAGCCGACACCCATGGCTCCTTCCTCTTGTTGTGCCTGGCAGTATTTTGAGTGGTGTGGACGGACTCGAAGTATTAGGCGCTGTTCCTAGAAAGATCCGTTTCATTAAGGAACGAATTCATCAGCAAAAAAATGACTGACAAGTTATGAATAACATATTGTGATATAACGATAGTGGAAAATTATAGATACTATCACGAAATATCATGATTTATCTTTATTAATCAACTTCATTCAGCCAATGAGGAATAAATGGGAACTTTTCATAAAACTTGACAAAGTAGGATTGAAGAATCTATTATATCCCATTGCTGTTATGATATAGTTATTATGCATTCAAAGAACAATTTCCGGAAATCTAGACAAATTGATGATGACGGCAACGTCGTACTGACTGACACAGGCAATCGTATTTCAACTCTGTGTGCATGTGGATTTTCAGAAAGTAAGTCTAAGGAATGGTGGAGGAGCCAAATTAATCTTTTATTTATTTTTTTCAGAAGTGAAATTTAAAAAAAAAAGAAAAAACACGTACATATTAATTTTTTACAAACTTCACAGTGGGATAAGAACCTCAATACAGGAAACTTTCCCATTGTAGCCTAGCTACAAATTTCATTGGAAAATACGTCTTTCCAGTCAGGATCATAAGGTATTGGTTGATAGATATTTGGTTGACCATCACGACCCACAGAGAGAGACCAGTCACATGATTAGACAGAAGTTGAAAAAAAAAGTTTCTATAGAAGTTAACCGTAGGTGTAGATATTTAGCCGTCATTTGTATAATGATAACCACTATAGTCGAATGTCATTAATCAAAATCTTCGTGACAACTACCTATCCAAAATGATCAGACTATGTCAAAAAATATCCAGTGAAACCATAACCATACCACCTTTACTAATACCCCAACTCACAATCGCCCTAGTCCCAAGAAGACCCAATTCCCGATGGGCAGACGTACCCTTCAACCCCCCAGACAGCATTTTCGGACTGCTAGAAGCCTTCCACAAGGACCCATCCCCTAACAAAATCAACCTAGGCATAGGAGCCTACCGAACAGACAGCTCACAACCTTACGTGCTACCCAGCGTACGCAAAGCAGAAGAAAAGTTGAGGAAGAAGAACCTCAACAAGGAGTACAGCTTCATCGCCGGCTCCACTGAATTCTGTCAGCTGAGCTTCGACTTTGCTCTGGGAGAAGATAACGTCATCAGCAAGGAGGGTCTCAATGCCACAGTGCAAACCATATCTGGAACTGGAGCCTTGTCCTTGATGGCACTGTTTCTGAAACGCTTCTATCCAGGAGAAAAAACCATTTACCTTCCCAAGCACACTTGGAACAATCACATCACTGTCTTCAGCTTCTTCAACCTGCCTCTAGATTACTACAGGTACTATGACGAACCAGCCCGTAAGCTAGACTACCAAGGCTTGATAGAAGACCTATCCAACATTCCTGATGCCTCCATGGTCCTTTTTCACCCCTGTGCGCACAACCCTACTGGCATGGACCCAGATCAAGACCAATGGGTAGCTCTATCCCGTTTGGCCAAGGAAAAAGACTTGTTTGTACTCTTCGACATGGCTTACCAAGGTTTCGCTACTGGAGATGCAGATGTAGATGCTTTTGCTGTGAGGCAGTTTGCTAGCGAAGGTGTGCCCTTCGCTCTGTCGCAGAGCTGGTCCAAGAACATGGGCCTCTATGGAGAACGAACCGGGGCTTTGACGATCTTAGGGGATAGCAAGGATGACGTGAGGCGAATCCTGTCGCAGCTGAAAGGCAAAATCAGGGCCATTTACTCGAATCCGCCGATACACGGGGCTAGGATAGTCACTGAGATCCTGACGGATCCAGAGCTGAAGCAGCAATGGCTGGGCGAGATGAAAGGAATGATAGACAGGATGATATCCGTTAGGAAGGTGCTTCGTGAGAGTTTGTTGAAATATGGGTCAGTGCACGACTGGGGGCACATTGTGAAGCAGAAAGGGATGTTTTGCTTCACGGGGATGGATGCTAAACAGGTGGAAAGGATGACCAGGGAGTTCAAGATTTATATGGGCAAGGATGGGAGGATTTCCATAGCGGGAGTGACTACTAAGAATGTTGATTACATAGCTCGAGCAATGCATGAGGTGACCAAATAGGTGTCGTAGAAATCAGTGATGTGTTGTTGTGGAGATTTAGTTTATTAATGTTCAAAATGTGATTCTGATGGAGAATTAAAATTGAAACATGGATGGTCCAACTATAAATAGCTCAATATTTCACTACTATGATTGGCTTACTCTTTTAATCGGAGCGTGGGGTTCTTATATTCGATGGCAAGAGGCTTTTCGAATCTCATGAAGTCATGAAGTTCAGACAACTTTTGAGAGACCTTGAATCTTTCTAAGCACTCTCATCACGTGATATGTTGAGATTCGTGTTTTTCGATGGGTACCAATTGTTTGCAAAAAAACTGTGGATTCCAGGGAGTCGTACCGTAGTCCGTTAATCCACTGTGCTCATTGGCATACATCTTCAGGCTTTCAAGGATGTGTTGATCTGAAAATCCGTTTGTTTTCTGTACAAGTAAAGGAATTATCATCACAGGTTTTTCTTAGTAATGAATTGAGTTGTTTATGATTTCACCAATGAGAGTCGAAAATATAACGAACCATTTCAATTTCCTCCAAAAATTGTAAAAATAAAAAATTAAAGTCGAATGAATCTGTTACAACGTCTGAAAATTTGGTTCGACACTTTGGTGTCGCCATTTTTAGGAGGAACGTGAAATCTATTCCAATTAGAAGTAGTAGTAGTAGTTACGGTGGAGAGGCTCAAGCTAGGCAAGTAGATCCTCATGTGCCTTTTTTGCTGACTTTGTGGCAACCTTCACCGTACCTCCGTTACTCGGCTACTTCAGAGAACCTTCTATAGTTAGTTCATCTCTTCCCTCTGAAGCGTTTCAGTTCCAAAGATGTTGAACCTTAGTCTGCTGATCGCTTCACATTCTCCTAGGAAGTGAGAATATGTCTCTTCTTCTTCCTCACATCTCTGGCATGTTGGGTTCTATACTATACCCATTGTCTGCTGAGTTTGTAGTGACCGGTCAGAACTCCAATTAGGAGTTTGACTCCTTGTCGCCTTTGGCTCAGCAGCCACTTCGTTCTCTCTTTGTGAGGGGTTATTATCAAGTCTTTTGCTTGCCTACACCTCATAGAGTCCCTCCAGTTCTCTTTGAATTTTCCCCACATCCACTCGGATGAAATTTGGCTTCTTGTGATGCTTAATGCAGGTTCCGGTCCATGAAATGGTGTCTCGGCACCGTGCCTGGCGAGTTCATCCGCCCTCTTGTTGCCTTGAATCCCCCTATGTCCCGGAACCCACATCAGTGTTACTTCCTTATTTCTTGCAAGTTCTTCAAGGACATCTACACACTCCTGAAGTAGAGCTCCAAATAGAAAGTAATTACACCATTCCTCAAAAATAAAAAAATTCAATGTCTACCTCATCTTAATTTTTTTTAATTGACTCGGCAGTTACTTGATGGAAAGCCATGGCAAATGTAAAAACTCCACAAACGATAAGATTTCCACATCATCTGCCTATCCAATGTTGCTGAGCATTATGTTCCACGAACATAATAGGGATTTCCTTCCGTGCGATGTTATAGATAAGGCAAATCCCAGACTAAGGAAGATTGTGCATTTTTGGCATATTTTTCCACCAGGTCAGAGATTGTATTGGCATTTATGCGGTCAACCATTCACGTAGCCTCAACTAACATTCACGTTCCCTCTGCGGCAGCGTTGCCAAATCGATTGAAAATTATCGTAATTGATGAGAAAATAAAAAAAAACGTGATAGCTTACTAATTATTGGTTCGGCTTGTATATTATTTTTTATTCATTAACATTAACAAGATGATTCTCAAGTACGACATCAAAATAAGAAGGAAAGTCCAGTGAGTTGGTAGTTTTCGAGATACAGGGCGATGAGCTTGAGATAATAAAACATTTCACGATGTTTTACTAATACAAAAACGAACTTTGTTTATGGTAACTATTTTCGATTTTCTTGAGACACCCTATATCACCTCTCTGAGTGCGTCTCACATATTATGAAACACCCTGTATAATAGGCGATATCATAGGTTTTTCATTGATTTTGAACGTATGTACACCGGAACTTTACTCGGGAATCTTGGAGAAGAAGAAAAAAGCATATAGACTTGGCAAGAGCGCGCTTCACAAACGAACTGTCGACAAAGCATGGTAGAAGGGAAATTATCTTTCTCTCTCGGTGGGTTGTTGGCCTTTATTAGCCCTTTTGGAGAAACAAGTGCCTTTGGAGGGCTGACGATCCACTCATGTTACGCAATCTGTTATTATACCAGGGTGACTTTTTCATTCAATTTATTGATAAATGTATAGAGAGCAATCAGGAAGAAAAATTCCTCAGACTTACCATGCATATATTTACCTTCTATCAAAATGATGGTTACATTTTGAGATTTTTGACAAAAAAAAACTATTGGCGCAGTCCGAATAGAGCTATAGATCCCTTCATGAAGAAGTTTAGATTCTTCCACCAGTGATTTTTTCGAACAAGAAATCAGATAAATCGAGATAACACTGCTTATGTTTCATATCAGACTTTGTAAATACCTGATTCTAAATAGAGTATATATAGGCTTCAGTAACAAGAAAGAAGGTATGAATCCAGAAATGAATGGCACATAATATTTTGTTCATGCGTTGCTACGTTCTAAGCGTTGACCAGTTTATTTCGTTGCATACAAAATGATCAGACTACGAAACCATAAAAAAGAAAGCGGAAGAATTTCTCGTTACGTAACTCAGATTTTGTTCCTCACCACGAAATTAGGTAATAGCTTATTGGATGACGTTGATGCATATAGTCTAACGATCAGGAAATTGATTGATGACAGAAATGATACTTGAATCAGAATGAACTTATTCAAAATTTCGAACTTGGCACATGCTGAAGCTGAAAAAAAAATCCGTCCAAATTCATTGATTTTTTTATTAGTCAACCAATTGTGTATTCAACCAACTAGTGTGATAATGAGGCTGATTAATAATCGAGATATTTTAACGTACGAGCAAAACGAGCGTTAATGTTCGGAATCATTAATCGCATCATTGAACAAATACAAACAAACGATTTCTTTGATCTAAGTAAATGAAAATGTATGATTCGCATATAGTTTATTCAGTTTGATTATATTGATTTCTTGATTCAATAATGCAGTAATTTTTGACCAAGAACAACAGTTACTGGAATGACCAGGATAATAATCCATTCCAAACGTGTTGTTAACTAAACATTCGCCAACGAAATATCAGTAATACAAGAAAGACGAAAAGAAAAGCTTTTTTCTGTTACGGGAAAAATATCGCATCTCTGTTGTCAGCTCATAAAATGTCACTTTTCATAAATTACTTTATTCCCACGGAAAAAAGCAATTATAGCACCCGTCTCCGACAAAGAACTGCAATAAAAGGTTATCTTCTAGAATTAGATTAAAAATAACTATTCCGCTATCTTGGATGGTTCGCCATATTGGATTTAGAATGACGTCACATCATTTCTTCTGGAGTTGCTCTCACCGAACCCTTTCATTTGATACCCATATTGAAGAAGTGCATTAAAAATAACTATTCCGCCATCTTGGATGGTCCGCCATATTGGATTATCATGCATTGTCATCCAAACTAAACGTGTATATAAAATTTCAGCTCAATCCGTTGAAGATATCTACTTCAAAATTGAGTCCAAAGATTCCACCTGGACAAACATACATACATTGCAAGTTGAATAATATATGTAGTATATTATTCAGCAAGCATATAATGAGGGCCATCATTCACGAAGGTTAAGTTTATGTCACGAGCGTAGCGAGTGGCATGATTAACCTGAGTGAATAATAGCTCATTATATGCGAGTAGAATACTATACTTTGTCCACGACTATTATGGTCTTTGATGTATACATTTATTTTCAACAACTGTTTTATCATCACTCATTTGACATTAAGAAAACTAAAAATTGAAGATACCTGTTATATTGATTATTTGTCCACGATTGTTGTACTTCCTCAAGCAAAACGATAGTCATTTTCCACACGCAGTTAATAATCATTGTTCACTGGTCTAAAGTTCCTTATATGTTATATCGCGTACTTTCGGAACTCTAGACCAGTGAATAATGGTTATTCACTGCTATTTTTCACTGGTGCGAAAAGTGGCTACCGTTTTGCTTGAGGAAGTACAAGTAATATGAACATTTTGAACAACAGTCGTTGATAAAAGCTTTCAAGAACAGTCAAAATTCCAAAGAATTCAAGATGTTCGAATTTCGAAACATCAAGACGTCAAATGCCATCATGATATCTGAATAGCATGTTGGGCGTAATCATAGCAACAGCGGCAAGTATGCAGACAAATGCTTAAGTTCTTGACATGTTAAAACCATTCATTTTGAGACAAACACCATAGGGATTTAAATAAATACAAATCCACACAATGTTCATAAAATGAACAACAATGGTAGATTTCGGTAGAAAAACAACTACTTTCCTGGCTACTGCCAACATTGAATTACATCCTCCCGAAATCTATGCATCAACTCGTATAAATGAATTCTTTCCTGAATGCCCATTGATTTCGATTTAGCCAGGCCACGCTAGACATCTACAGACCGGTTTCGAGCTCTTTGACTCTCATCAGTGCAGGACAGTCTCCAGCCAGCAGTCCTAAGACCGCCGACTAAGCGTAGCCTAGCCAAACAAAAATCAAGTCGGCATTATATTCCCCCAGAGGCGTCTTTCATAAACAATATGAAAGCAACGCCATCTCTGTAAGCAGGGAAAAAACACTCCAAAACTGAAATTCCCATACAGGAGTTGCTGGTTGCCTTCCAAAATCTATGCATCGACTCGTATAAACGAATACTGATACAAGTAGGGATTTCCTTTCGTGTACTCCAAAAGATGAAAAAATTGGACGTTGTGGAAAGGTCAACTTCTGAGAAATGAATTTTTTAACCCACATATTCAAAGTAAAGTGTTTAATAGATAACGACAATATAATAACATGTAATAACATACAACAGTTCGATGACAATGAGTCCCGTTAAA